TTCGATTTCGCTTATGCGCTTCTTCGTGTTCGTCGGCTGCAGCCGCGGCGTACGATACTCTCGTTGCACGGTGCGCGTTTCACGGCGGTGTCTGCGTACGATGGTCCCGTAGGTGGCTGCACAAAAGCAGATACACCTACCGCGTATCGGACGCACACATCGGCGAACGCATATTCGCGGGCCCGAATCATTCGATCTCTACTAGCAGGGTGAAAACAACCCTAGCCGATACGGCTCAGATTCGCGCATGCGTGCCGGGGAATAACCGTGAACGCGAATCCCGAAGGGATACACCGACACGCGAGCCGGTATCTCGATGTGTACGTGCGCCGAAACCCCCAGGTTGTCCGCCCCTTCGTCGGCTTCTTGTTATTGTTGCGATTTAATGAAATGTTACGGTCGTCCGCCCGCGATTACTTTCCCATTGCACCGATTAACTCCCCATCCGTACGGTTCTGCTCCGCGTGACGGGACACCTTTTCTTCTCGGCGATCCCTCGGGCATTGCTTTCTCCGAAGCTTACGCGAACCCCACGGAAGATTTCGGCCTCGTTTCGGTCCGCCGCTACGAACAGCGAAGAACACCGCCGCGCCGACACGCTTTCCAATTAAAGTCCCGTATCGTCCCCGATATACTTGTACTCGAACGAACATGTCCGTTAACCGTCACGTGTATTTGTTCTGATGTGTGCAGGTATGGTTCAAAAATCGGCGAGCAAAGTGCAGGCAGCAAGTGCAGCAGCAGCAGCAGCAACAACAGCAGCAGCAGCAGCAACAGACCTCCCCGTCAAAGGGCTCGCCGAGATCGAATCAGACGCAGAGCGCCAGCAACAGCGGCAACAAAATGTCGTCGAATTCTTCTGCGACGCCCAGCAGGCGTTCATCCCCGGTGTCCCCGCCGCGTGGCAAGGAAGCACCGGGCCCGAACTCGCCTCTCCTCTCGACAACGTCGACGTATCCGCGCCTCGGCGTGACACCAACGGGCGGAAGCGGCGCGAACAGCGCTCTGACCACTCCGTCGCCTCCGTTGACCCCTGGTTCCAGCCAGTTACCGCCATCGTCTTACCCGCCTCCAGTGAACCAGATTCATCACGGTGAATATGGTTTCACTTGGAGTTCAGCGTCGCCTGGCTCAGTAAACCCGAACCAATGTTACGCTGGGCAGACTTACAACGCCTACCAGAACCCATACACCAGCGGCGATTACTATCAGACCCATATCTCTCATATGCACCACAGCCCCCAAGGAAACTACCACCAACCTCAGTATCATCACAATATGACGCTGACATCCTCGATGTCCCATTTGACGCTCCACCATCAGAACCCGACCGGTACAAACGACATGTCCACTTCGGCCACCGATTCCGACGGCTACATATTGCCCGACCAGAAGTATCAGGCGATGGTATAGCGGTCCGGCAGGTCCACCGGCATTTTTCATCGCGGGCAAGAGGCGTCGGTCGCGGCCGGATCGTCCGCGGCTTACCACTGGCGTCTGAACTCCACCGCCGCCAGTTGCCTGGAGATCAATGGTAACATCGACTCCGACGACAATTAATCGGTAAACTGATTTCGGCCGAGCCGGTTGTGATGACCGCAAACGAAGTTCAACGACTCGTGACATATCGGTCACGCCGACCGACGCACAATTGCGGTCAGACATGGGGAGTAGTCGAGTTTCCAAATGAAACGGCGAGAACGGATCGTTTCGTCCGAACTTTGACGTAGAATCCTTTCGCGCGAACAATGCGAGAACGATTTCGAGGCTCGTCGGTCAACGTGAACATCGACGAAGAACCGAGTATGCCGTGTCATCCTCGTTTACAGAGTGACTGTCGGGAACATCGAATTGAAAACGCGATACGGGGGGGAAGGCGAGGACGCGCGTGAATAATGACGGGACTGGAAAAGCTTTGCTCGCCATCATTTGGCGCACAGTTTTCGCCGTCACCCGCGTAATCGCGTTAGCCGTGCCGCTCGGTACGTTATACGCGACGTCAGGCCTGATTGCGATCCGCGATTATTATTCCGGAATAACGAGAGTACGGACAGTTGTGTTTTTGACAAGGATCTTCAGGTGGAAACGATCCTTGAAAAGGAGAGACGACCCTCTTTTTCCGCTGTGTTGACACATCAAATGTAGATTACTGTTCTTCGAGGGCAAGTGATTCTTAGGATTCCCATTTCTTCGTTTCTCGAATCGAAAGACGTGTTTCTGTTCGTTCGCCGACGTTCGTTCGGGGAAATTAACGAAAATGACACTAATGATAAGGCGTTGCGATCGATCGTAAGACGATTAACCACCGCGAACTCTTGTGCCCGCCAAGACCGCGTATCTTTAATCGAACCCTAGAGACAATCGACGGAAACGAGAGATCCGACCGTGTCCGGCGAATTCGAGTCTCGTCGCCCGTTGCGAGGCCGAAAATCAACTGTGAAAACTTTATCGTTTCTTTCTGTTTCGCGCGCGACTGTCGCGCGTGTATTTTATATTGTTCGCTGCTCGACTTTTTAATTTCATGAACAGACGATGGACAGAAGTGTGATCCAAACCGTGGACAGATTTTTCTCGCGTCCTTAGAGAAACCGCGACGATTATTTTATCCTGC